GTCGCAGTATTTGTGTGTACAGTTGAAGAGCACGCACTACGAGCACAGTATTAACGGCTGACAGGACAGACATTTTTTTACTGACATATGGCCATCACAACATCTCATCTGACTGCAGTTCATTGTTGTTCTACTCAAGCTCCCTCGTTATCTGTACCGTTTCCGCGCTCATTTGACTACTGCCTGACGCTGAGGCGAAGTGGAGTGCGTGTCTGAAAAGTCTCCCGTTTGATGTGGTTGTAAAAATGTTCTGCGTTTAAATAAACACAATTCTAGTCAAGAAAAAAAGAGACAGAAAGAGCAGCTGTGAGTAGGGTGGCCAACCCTAGCTCTGCCCATGCATTAACGGCATTAAATATTTTTAATGCCATTAAACTGGAAAAATGAATTGCCTGATCAAAGTCATTTGATTGGTTTTGTTTGTCATGTCATCGCTTGGTTTTTATGTTATTGTAGAGTACAACAGTAGTCATATTCTACAGTTTTTAATTTGATACCAGGCTTTCTTGCATCAAAGATATTCCTTATTTTATTTTTGACTGACCATTTTCAACCTGTTTGGCTATTTAGAGGTTAAACACACTACTGTTGCTTTAAGTCTTATATATTTAAATGACCTCTGTTAAGATTTGCTTACCTTTTTGCATGTGAAAACAGCTGGTGCAGCTCGCACTGCTGTTCAGGATGGCATGGGGCGTGATGCTCAATACTGTATATAAGTGTTTTGTGTAAATGGGGTGGTCATATGTTAATGTGCTTATGGTTGTGATGGTTATTCCCGGACAGTTTCTGAATGACCTAATTTAGAAGCTCTGTAAATGATCTCTGTCAACTGGAAAGGGAGATTGCATTGTGAAAGTGAAAGTATGTGTATATAATAAGTGTCAAATCATCAACATGCACATAACTGTGTTCTGTTAAACACTAACATCTGGGATGAAATAAAAGGTCTTTCTTGGTTTCTTTTTTTTCAGAACACACCAGAATCCTCATGGCTGACAGAGCTGCTGTGGACTTTTTTTGTACCGTTCACAGTGTACCATGTAAGGTACTACATATTACAGTCTCTCCTTTGTCCAGTGGCAGTGTTTTAAATGTACAATCCTCTATTGCTGCTCTCGACAGGCCAGCACTGGTAATACGACAATAATGAAGCTTTTTAGTATTTAATATCCTTAAGAGTCTTAGGCATGCAGCTTATAAGATTGACAGTTTCAGATTTAGTCCTGAATTTTTGTGCATACTTGCCTGTTGCTAAATATATTAACTTCATTACTGTCCCTTTTGAATATTTGGTTAGTAAATACTTTCACATCATTGCAAATATTTTGTTTTATATAATGTTGACGTTTAAAATTTGATACTAATATTTAATGACAATGTTTAATGTTGTAAATATTGAGTGAATAAAGGAAGACTCAGAAGCATTGCGTCTTTCAGAATAGATCTCTGTACAAAAATGTAAGGTGTAATTGTTTTGAAATGCTCTCAACCAGATGGCTTCCACCACTGTCTAAAGAAGATGGTGAATCCCATCAAGAATTTGCCAGCAAAGTACAAGAGGTTTAACTCTTTTCTTTCTATCTTCTTGTGTTGCATTCTGTGTATTTTTTTCTCCATCAGATGTCGTATGATGGCAGTTTGCCATGATTGTTTTTATTTAAACAAAAAAGTGTTGCAATGTGCAGTGATTGTAGTCAAGACCAGTTTTAAAGGGGTCATATGATGTGATTTCAAGTTTTCCTTTCT